AATTGCCATTCTCTTCTCATCATATTGTAGAAATTTCATCAATGAATATTATCATATCTTATGTAAGGGAACCCAATTCCAACCTGGAATTGCCTATTCAACAAAATTTAACAAAGAAAAAAATTTAACTATTTTTTTAAAATGAAGGTAAAATAATGACCTTGCTTTAGGTATATGTAACCCCAAATAACAAATTGCTAGATCTTCACACACACAAAAAGGAACAGAAAAATGATAACAGATGGAAAATATGGATCTTCACAAAGGAAAAAAGAGAGAGAAAGAAATTCACTGCATGTGTAAATATATATTATTTTTCTTTCTATTTTAATTTCTTAAAAATATGCTCGAGTTTTAATACAAAGCTAATAACAATGTTATTGGTACCGTTTATGACAATAACATAAAGACTTAAAAGAAGGAGAAACGAAAATATACAATTTAAAGGATTTTTAAAATCACAAAATGTAGTTTATTTAAAAGTAAATTGGAGAGAGAGGGTATTCACCACCTCAAGGGAGGGGTGGAGGCCAAAGCTTAAGAAAACATGGCCTGGCCATAGCTCAAAGAATACATGGCCACACCATAGCTTAGCAAGGCAATGGCCAATTTTAAGGTTCTTATACTACATGTGAGGTCTTATTCTATTCATATTTAAATATGTACACTATAAGTTCTAAAGCAACAAAATTTAACAAAGAAAAATTTATAGCTACTGTGCCAACAAATACAATTAATAGAATAATAAAAAGCACACAAAAATTCTAAACCACACTGGTAAAGAAGAAGATAAATAGCAAATGAAGCAAATAAAAAACAAATAGCTAGATATTTGACTTAAACATAGGTATATCAATAATCACATCAACTGTAGATTGTCTAAGCACTCCAGCTGAAAGGCAGATATTGTCAAGCTAGATGAGGTATCTCTGCCAAAAATAAAAGTACTTTAAATAAGAAGCATAAATAGAATAAAAGTCTGAAAAATGTTGAATTATGCAAAATCTGAATAATACATTTTTAAATAAACCATGGGTTTATAACAAAATCAGAAAGAAAATTAGAAAGTATTTTAAATACAATAAAAATTAAAACATGTAAGAATTTGTGACATACCACTAAGTAATACTAAGTGTTGGAATTTACAGTTATGTAATCTACAAAAAAACTACCAGAACTAATCAGTGACTTTAACAAGGTTGCAGAATACAAGGTAAAAATACAGAAAATAAACAATAGGCATTTAAAACAAAAAGAATGCCATTTGTAATTTCATCAAATTATTAAGTACTTAGGGAGAACCTAACAATACATGTGCAAGACCTATAATCTTAAAATGGTAAGAACATGGATGAGAAAATAGGAAAACTTACATAAACTGAGAAGTATATTTTGTTTCTGGTTTGGAGACTCAACATTATAAAAATTTCAATGACCCCAAATTGCTCTGTAGATACAACACAATCCCAGTCATAAACCCAGCAGGAATTTTAGTTTTTATAAGAAATTGCCTTGCTATTGTAAAAACTCATATGGAAATGCAAATAATTGATAATAGCCAAAACTACTCTGAAAAAGATAAGCAAAGTTAAAGCACTTATCCTACTTTATTTCATGACTTATTTTAAACCTACAAACTAAGTCAGCATGGCATTTCCATTAAAATAGACAAATAGATCAATGGAAAAAATAGAAAGAATATACTCTCATACATATGAATTTTTTTTTTTTTTACAAAGATGAAAGGCAAATCAGTAGAAAATTTGCAGCCCTTTTTCAGAAAGTGGTGATAGAATAATTGGCCATGTACAGGCAAAAAAAAAAAAACCAAACTGTTCATCAAAAACAAAACCTAATTCAAAATGAGTAATATACTTAAATGTAAAATTTATATCTAATACAACTTTTAAAAGGAAACATACTGGAATATTTTTTGGCTTTTGGCAAATAGGATATTTATTTGATGACAATAAAAACGTGACCTATGAAAGAAAAAAGATAAATTTGATTTCAGTGTCTTTAAAATACTTCTAAGAGAATGAAAAAGAAAAGATAGCATGCTGGGAGAAAACATTTGCACCTCATATATCAGATAAAAGATTTGTATCCATAACATGTAAGAAACTCTCAAAACTTAACACTTAAAAACCAACCAAACAAAAACCAACTCAATTAAAATTTGACAAAAGATTTAAATAGGTACTTCACCAAAGATGTGGAGAAAAGGAAAGTTGTATACACTTTGGGTGAACTTGCAAATCATTACAACCTCTATGGAAAACAGTATGGAGATTTCTCAAAGAACTAAAAATAAAACTACCATCCATTCCAGCAATCCCATGACTATCTACTCAAAGGAAAATAAATCAATATATCAAAAAGATACTTGTACTCCTATATTTATCACAGCACTATTCACAATAGCAAAGATATGGAATCAATCTATAAGGTCATTATTTTAAGTGAGACAACTCAGACATAGAAAGACAAATATAATGTTCTCACTCAAAGAGGAAGCTAAATAATGTGTACACATGAACATAGAGAGTGGACTGGTGGACAATTAAGACTTGTAAGGGTGATTAGGTGGGGGGATGATAAGATATTACTTAATTGATACAATGTATGTTATCGGGATGATGGAAACCCTAAAAACTCTCACTTGACCACTATACAAACTATGCATGTAAAAAAATTGCACTTGTACCCCATAAACTTATGCAAATAAAAGAAGATATACAAATAAGCACATAAACACATAAATTAGTGAAATTCTAGTTAAAACCACAGTGAGATACCATTACATACCTATAAAAATAGCTAAATTAAAGACTCGTGTTATGTGTTGGCAGGATAAACTGGAACTCTCATATGCTCTTGGTGGGAATGCAAAATAGTGGAATTACTTTGTAGTATGGGTTAGTAGTTTACTAAAATGTTTATCATATATCTTTTATATAATTCAGCCATCTAGCACTACATGTTAATCCAAGAGAAAGAAAAACCAGACAGAATAGAAACCATACATACTGTATAATTCAATTTGTGTAAAAGCTGGAAAATATAGCTATCTGCAGTGACAGAAAGTGGATTAGTGGTTGCCTCAGGCTAGAGCATGGAAAGGTATGAAAAAAGGAATTAAAAGGGGCATAAGAAAACTTTTGGGCCTGACGAATACATTCACGATCCTAAGTGTGGGGACAGTTTTCACAGGTCTATAATATGCCGCAACTTATCAAATTAAATAAATACTAGTTCAAATATTTATTAAATATTTAACACTTAAATATTTGCAGTTTATTTTAACCCAGTTATATTACAATAAAAATGTTGAAGAAAACATAAACTTTAGTGTTTATAAGAGTCGTGGAGGAAGTTTGACCAAAAGATTCTTTATTTAAGTCTTGGCTACATTCAAAAATCTTTATTTCAAAATAAGACCATCTAATCGATCCTGATACAAGATGTCACCTTCCTAACCTTGAGAAATAATGCTCTTTGCAGATTCCTGCTAAGACTACAATTCTAAGTTAAGTGTCCCTAAGCCAGAAGTATGCCACTTATACAGGGAAAATTACTAAAATCAAGTGCAAGGTGTCAACACAATTGCAATAAATAAATGCGTTCACTATGCCCTTATTTTAGGGCTCTAAATTATGGTTCTTCATTTTCTTATACTTTTATATATGTTATTGCTAGGTTTATTTCTATTTAGTAACAGTTCCACCTTAACTTTTATTTGTAAACACATTTACATTTCTCAAAATACAATTCTTTTACTGAACAATAGGCTAGATTTATGTATGTGTACAAGGTAATGCTGATTTTTTTCTATGACAAAAAAAGCAGTGCCTTTAAGTTAACAGTCTTCAAAAAGACCTTGATATCAATCTTATTGTCCTAGATTACCATGTTCAAAGTCCAACTTGGAGCATATGGCTCATTATCGAATGAATATTCTGAAGGGGGCTAAATGAATGAATCCATCTATTGATCCTTCTATTCAATTAACTGGTAATCTTCTAGGGCATTCTGAACACATGCTTCCTCTTTGGAATAGCCATCTATGTTGATAATTTAGTCTATACTGCCGATATCACCATATGTAACCACTTATTATGAATCATCATGAAAAAATCACAACACACCTTTTTCAACTGAGATTCTCTACATGGGTACAGAGTTCTTATGATATTTTCTTTTCTGGAAGGAACTTTAAATGGTAGGAATCAATTTCATTTCTCTCCCAAACTAGAAAGTATTGTGGAAAACCAAAGCAATCCAATGTTTCTTCAGTAAATGACACTCTCAGAATTTTATATCTTAATTCCACACCTCATGGGTTCTTCAGAATAGAATCTTTCAGCTACCTGAGAAGCTTTCTAGGCCCTTTAGTGGTACTTTAGTACTGAGTCCAGTTTTCTCTGATCAGAGCCGAATATCTGTGGTTTAACCTCTTGTCCTCAGTTTGACTTTTCCCAGTTTTGCACTCTCCCAATGACTGCTCTCCAACAGGTGGTATAATTTTGTTACACTATCATGACTCAGTTACTACCTATCACTATGGATTCCATGTCAAATGTGTAAGATAAAGATGCCACTAGCTGAAATATGAGTAAATCAAATTAATCTTTCCCAGTAAACGTTGTCTTCCCAGTTTTGCCATGCAATGTACTCTGTTACTTGAAATCTTAGATAAGGACATTTTTGTGGTTCTCCTCATGCCTAGCACAAGAATAAACAACCGATGCACCTATGCTTGCTTAGTGCTATTTATTATTTTATTACAGTCCATGGTGTATTGTGAATAATTGGCTATTTGTCACTTCACTTTTTGAGGACAGCAAATGTATCTGATTCACCTTTTAAATTCTCACAATTTAGCATGGTCCTGGGGTTATATAAAGTGCCCAGTTGATGTTTAATGAATGATTGCTTCATTGTTTAATGATTCTCTATATAACATAATAGTAGGAAAAAGTCAAAAAACACTAATTTTGTTGAATTTCATTTAATGAATATTTGTTACAATAAAAGAGGTATAAACTCCTGTTGCCAAGTCCAAACCACATTTTAACTTAAACCTTATGTTTTTTGAATTACCCAAATTTGAAGTAATTCTCTTTATACCTGAAAAATGGTTTTATTGAAATGTTTGAGATAAAAAAGTATTGCTAGAAGCATATGACAAACATTTGAGAGTACAAAATTAGTTGTAAAAATAACATAATTTACCAGTAAACCCACAATGTATAGAAATGTGCAAAGCCTCTTGATGTAGAAAATTTTGCTTGTTTTTTTATACTGAACACCCATTTTTATAACTTAGCTTCCCATGGAGAGGTAACTGCTTGCATGCATATTATTTATTCATTACATACATTCAAGGCTCAATCTTCTCAATGAGATAACAGTTCACCACTCAGATTTGAATTGTAATGAATTGGTAAAAAGAGTTTTCTCTGGTAGTTTCCAAAGTTAACCAGAACTTTAAATGTCAAGATAAAAAAACCTGTAAGGTGCTAGATCCTATCCCACAGGAGGCCACCCAACACTTTCCCTCATATTTCTCACTCAGAAAAAAAAATAAATTTTTGTTCATAATTGTTTGATGATTCCTCTTTTGTACTGATGTTTCAGTTCCTGAAGTCAGTGTGGCTCTCATAATTTTCCTTTAGGGTCAGGTTATTGACTTAGGGCTGTATAAACTTTGTCTTCTGGTTTTTGGATGTTTACTGAGAGCGACCTTCTCTTGATCGTCTTCTAGATCCTAATTAGGAAGAAAGAAGAACACATAGATTATAAATGTGAGGAAACTTCAGAGCTTAAAAATATGAGATTCTATGTATCACTATGAAAGGCCACTGTTTTTATTGCCATAAATTTTGGATTGTTTTCTTATCCTGTTTGTTGTGATGAAACCAAGATTATCTTTGTATGAAAGTAATCATTTTAAATGTGATTTAAATTTTTTAGAAAATTTACATGAATTTGAATGTATACATGAAATCTCTGATAAATCCTTCAGTTGAAAAAAAATGCGTGTAGTCAATCTTTTACTTTCAAGTTCTATTCACTAGATTGGCTCAAATTCAGATGTACCTGTAATTTGTGGTGAGCTTTGATCCTTCTTTTGATTATTAATATGTAATTATCTCAGAAATTCCAAATTTAATTCCAAGTAATTTACTTTAGGCTCCAAAAGGGAACTCTTTGCTCTTTCAATAATTCATAATGTAAGGAAACTTAATTCCTCATGAAGGAATTAGAATATGTGCATAGTGTAATTATGAAGAAAAGTATAGTGCTTGTGATAGATCCCTATATAATCCACACTTAAAAATCAATTTTGTATATAGTTATATTCACAGTTTTATATATGTTTGCAGTTTTTATTTACTTATATCTCAACTGAAGTCTCATCTAACATAACATTTATAAAGATTCAGGTCCGCCTGAAACCTATGTTTGCTTAGCATTGGTATTCAAACATTTCTTTTTGATTTAACTCTTATTCAAACAAAATTATGCATATACCTGTATACAAATAAAATTTTAATGTATAGGTGTAGATTATATACTTCAGTCTAGGTAATGGCTCAATATGCTTAGCAGTTTACATAAGTGTATTTGCCTCTGCTTTATTATTTGTTATTCTTAGATTCTACTCAATAGTATAGAATAAGAGCAATTTATTTTCTGATTCTTATCATCAAAATACTTTGAATAAAAACTGGCTAACTTTTCTCTCCGAGAGACAACCAAGTTCAACAAAATACAGTAAAACACTCTGCTATTCTTTAATTTCTCTTCACATAACAAAGATGCCATATACACACATTACTATGTATTACTATAGCGAATACACTTACCTTGAACTCTTTTGTTTGTTTGAATCTTCCTCACAGGTGTGTCTAAAATTAAATTGTTGTAGTTAGAAATGCTTTGCAATTGTGGCTAAAACCAAACAGGAGACCACAGCTAAGTAGAAAAGTGTAAAGTTCTAAATAAGATCACTTAAACATATAGGTTTTTTTTTGAGTAGTAAACCTTATAAACTTTAGAGTTTGTTTTGACATTGAACAAACGACTTTTATTTTTCACATATTATAATGAATGCTTCTTAATTGTAAAACATATTTGTTTCATTCTGGCTTTTGGAGCCATGCATAATGTGTCATTTTGCACAGAGTAAACGACATATAAGTTTTTCAGGTTTTTGTAAAATGCATTACTTTATGATGAAGGGATGTTTGACATTATATAAAGTTTAGCACGAGTATCTTCCCAGAGTTAGCCACTCATTTTTGCAATCATTCCTATTTGTAGTATAAGCCTCCGAGATATTCTCATTAAAGATCAATTTGTGGTTGCTGTATCACATATGAGGGCAACAAAATAGCATTGACCCAATGACTCTAGAAATGTAATAATAGGGAATTCAGGATAAGTGTGCCAACATCCCACCCCACACACCCAATTCGGTGTCAATTCTATGAGACTACTTTAAAATTCAGCTAGTTGAATATAATAAAAGTTTTCATATTTAAAAACTGCGAATGTTTTAAAATATGCCGTTTTTGTTGTATCATAGTTGTAACATATTTTCCTTTTAACTCATTAACAACAAGACTATGTAGGAGGCCTAAATTCACATTTTCACTCAGTTTTGGAGCATTTGAGATATGAGTTAAAAGGGAAATTTGAGACCGGGCTCGGTGGCTCAGCCTGTAATCCTGTGCCTTTGGGAGGCTGAGGTGAGTGGATTGCCTGAGCCCGCGGGTTCGAGACCCGCCTGGGCAGCGAGACCTCATCTCTACAATAAATCAAAAAATCAGCCGGGTATGGTAGCGCATGCCTGTAATTCCGGCTACTCGGAAGGCTGAGGCGGAAGGATCACCAGAGCCCAGCAGGTGAGGCTGCGGTGGCCGGGAGCGGCCACTGCACTCCAGTCTGGGGGACAGAGTGAGACTCCAACTCAAAAAAAAAAAAGGGAAATTTGGAGCATTGTGATTCCTACAGCAACTTAATTTTTTAATTATGTATTCTCTTTCTGACTACTTAGCAAATTTTCTAAACGTCTTTTTCCCTCCAGAATATAAGGCATATAACTGTTCATCACACCATATTAATATTATAGTAAAATATAGAACTATAAAAATCATTCTTGATTGGTTAATGGAAAGAAGTCTGTGAAAGATAAGAAAGTCTGAATTCTGAAATATTAGCAAATAGGTAAATATTTTTCTTAATTTTATCTAACAACAAATTAATGACATAAAATATTGGCAAGAAGAGATGATCCAATCTGTAATTAGTAAGAGCATTGTTCATATGGATTTATTAAGTTTTAAACAACAGTTTGTTATACAATTTGAAACTATATCATAGAAGTATTTCAAAAATTACTTTTTAAAACAAGTGCTCTAAGATTTCTCATCAATTTGATAGTACACAACTAATAAGATTTTATAATATTATTTTGCTATGATAATATTTCAGAATAAAAAATGTTCAATGTGGCAAACAAATGTTTTAAAAGAAAAGCTTTATTTAACTGTAGAAAACAGATTTGATCCCAGAAGCTCTCTGCTATTGCAAAATAAATGAGAGTTATATTAAGTCATGTTTAGAGCAGCAAATGTGGGAAGATAAACCAATCACCAAATAATTTGGCACAAAAGTTCCCCTCTCCACCGTTTTTCCTAAAGCATGCAAAGTGTTTTAGCCTAATTACTTGGAAGTTTGTTTGTTTGTTGAATTTTTTACACGACTATGGCTATGAAAATTTAAAGTAGGGTGTAAAATATTACTTTATTGACTGTTGTTAATGTTAATTGAAAATACTTTTAGCAACATTCACTGATAGCTAACTAGGTGCTGAACATTGTTCCATGAGCTTGTCATATGTTAACTAATTTAGAGGTTATGTTACTATTCTTGCTTTCACATGAAGGAAACAGGCAGAAAAGAGTCAACTTTGGGTTTGAGTTGGAGCTCAGACTAAAGGCAGACAAAGATTGATCCACCATTCTCTATAGAAGCTATAAATCTTAATATATTATATTGGTAGATTTATGAAAACCTTCCAAAATGACCTTTTTTTTTGTTTCCTTCTGCAATATCCTGTTATTCTCCTTTAATTGCTTGGATATTTTCAGCAAATATAGTTTTAAGGTAAACACAAAAGCTATGTATTTTATAAGAATATTTTTAAGTTAAGGGCTCAGAAGTAGTTCAGGGACATATCAAAACATCACTACGAAAAGAACCACTTAGTCGTGACTTAAATGATTAGAGAAGACATGTAAATTAATAAAATGAATTACATGTACCACAATGTTTACAGTATGATCACTTCAGATAGAAAATTCAGTTTCAGATAGAACTTTTTGAGATGAAGACTATGGTTTGGATATGTATTAACAAGCCAGACTCTGAAAAAAAAGTCTTGCATAATGCAATCTTTACTAGCTTCCTTGTAAATCAATGTCTTTTATGATCTAGACAACTAGGCAACGGGACATTTGTGACTCAATGATGATTTTAGATAGCTAGACAAAAACAAAAAACAAAAAACATGAGTATGTCCAATTGATGTTGATAGTAGTAACTATTGCTTATACTGTCTTTCCTATGAAGAGCAAAATCTTGGAAATGATTTATATAACCTTATGATATAGCATTGTGAAAACTGATACCTTATGATATATAGAGAAATTGCACTGGGACTAAAGGAATCAACATCTGGGAGGAACAGAAGAGTTTAAAAGGGAATTTATTAACTAAAAATTTATTATATTTTTAACTGGTAGCAGTTATTTCTTCTCTTGGCTGAAGCAAGTGTTTAGAACTTAATTGCATTGTTTATAACAGACTCAATAACAGGAGCTTACAAAAGGGAAGAAAGCATACTTACCTGATGTTTAAACCTAAATGAATTAAAGCAATATAAACACATACAGCTACTAATTTATTCATTCTCTAAAAAGCACTGCCATTCTACAAAGCTGCTTACTATGGCAAGGACTAAAAAAAAGAATTCAATTTAATGTTCAAAATGTGTTCATTTTTCTTCAAATCTTTAGATGTTTATCTAGCAGACAGTTAAACATTTTGGCATAGACAGTAAATTCTGTGTTAGATCTTACAGAAATCTTTGGTTCCATTATGGCTTGGGTATGCCATAGACTCTTGGTTCTCTGGAAGCAAATAATGTATGTTTTCAGACATTTATACTTTTATTGAGAAAAAATTCAGTAATTGGTTGAGCTAAAATTATTTTTTCAGTGACCACTGATAAGTTTCTAAATAGTAAGATATTTTACATATATTAAAATACTGGCTATAGAAACAGTAATTGTCAAAAATATACGAGATCCAAAAAGAATTTATGTTTTCTTGGACATGGTGATACAGTTTTTTAAAATTAAAAGCAGAAATTCTATCTAGTTTATATTTTAAATAAATATCAAAATTCAGTTGTGTTTCTCAATTAATAGCATATTTTAAAGAGGCTATTTCTTTTTTCCAAATAATTTAAATATTTGTTTCTTTGAAATTATTTTTCAGCTTAATGCTTTTGCTGTTAATAAAATGAAATAGAAATTTATTTATTCAAATGCCAATGATCTAAATTTAAAAAAATATTTACTACTTCTTTGAGCAATTGCCAGTTTTGTTTTTTTGAAATTATTTTTCAGCTTAATGCTTTTGTTGTTAATAAAATGAAATAGAAATTTATTTAGTCAAATGCCAATGATCTAAGTTTAAAAAAAATATCTATTACTTCTTTGAACAATTGCCAGTTGGAGTACATGTAAGATTTTGAATTCTTTTTTCTTTGCTGTTACAAGTCGGCCCATTTAATGCCATAAACAAAGAAAATTCTATAAAGATGAAGATTAATTTTATATGCAAAATCACTTACATCTCCAGGTATAGATTATCATTCAAACTGTTAGAAGAAACAGATACCCATTCCAAAGAATATAGTTTTAGAAAAGAAAGTTGCTAAATGCACTGTTTTTACTACATCTTGCACTTACAGAATTCAAAAACATGCCTTTATTGATATTATGGGAGCAGTGAATATATTTTTTAATATATAAAATGCAGGTCAAATGTAAGCTTGTTTTACAACTAGCAGTAAAAATGATTCCCTTTTCACATACTTAAAATATCCTTATCTTTATCTGAATCAAAGCAAAAAAATATTCATTGCTCCTCAAGCTTTACATCATAAAACTTTTTAAAGACTGTTTAAACTAGTAATCATTTCTTCATAATTATTACTTAGATTTCCATTGGGTGTTCCACGATCGTTAAGATAACAGCTGATGTTGGCTTTTTTAACCCAATTAAAAGGAAGACCTGCTTGCCCAGTCTTTAAAAAGTTGAAGAATTCAGTCATCAGAACCTGTTAAGGGGGTTAGTTGTTTTCCTTTTACTAACCTCCCTGAAGCAGCCTTTTAATTTCTTCATCTTCAAATAAATGACCATCACCACCTTCAATGAATTTGGTGACCTTGGTGACCTCTGAGAGGATACATGTTTGCAGCAGAAATGTGTTTATATAATAAAATAAAGACATCAGACGTGATGTGATAAATAATGGAATCTGCCCAATAATGAGTTTCAGACCACACTCATTTGCTTTGTAGTTTTTAAAGTTGTTTTTTGAGACAAATTTTCTTATAAATCTGTTGAACAATCCACAGCAAGTCCCCTACATACAGACCTCCAAGTTGCAAACTTTCAAAGATGTGAACGTGCATTTGCATGTCTAATTACATAAGGTGGTTCATAATTCTGGTGTACATTGTCACATGCTGTACTGTAAGATTAAAAATGTTTTCCTTTTTGTGTTTATATTTTATGTATTATTTGTGTGAAATATAGTATAGTACTATATAGCCAGTTTTGTTAGTTGGATACCTAGGCTAAGTGTGTTGGAATTACAAATTGGACTTACTAGCACACTCTCAGAAAGGAATTTGTTTGTATGTAGGGGACTTACTATACTGTAAAACAAAATAAATATGTCTTCCATTTATACCTCATTCCATATTTTTGTGCTTTTATTCTTGTGTTGGTATGGAAGTTGAACAATAGAATGAGAGTAAAAAACATAAAGTCCTAAAGATTATTTAGACTTTGATAGAGCTAGCTTAGGTAAAATAACACTTTTAGTTTTTTAGACATGCTGACCTTCTTGCAGCAATTTCTTCAGCGTTTCTTCTGTTTCTCCACCTCCAGCTGAAATCCTAGTGTATTTTATTTCAGGACCTAAAAGAAAGAAATTAGAAAAAGGTCTAGAAGAAAGGTAGGCAAACTTCTTCTGTAAAGTGACAGAGAGTTAAGTATTTTACACTTGTGGCTCATGTTGTCTGTGTTGAAACTGTTCAACTCTGTGACTATAGTATGAAAGTAACCAAAGAAATTACATAAATGAATGGACATGACTATGCTCTAACAAAATTTTATTTACATAAACATGAGGCAAAGGACATACTCACACTGCTTGTTTAAACAAATACTAAGATTATAGCTGAATTTAAAATTTTAGGCTAATTTATAGGTGGAAGACATATAAAGGTTTACTAAAATAATTGAACATTTTGTACTAATTTTCATATATTTTGGTATGTAGATTATAGACCTTAAGATTAATGGGAGCTCAAAGGAGGGAATGGTTTTTCTTCTAGGATCTAATAACTAAGTAAAATGAAGATGATATATAATACGTTTGAGTGCACATAATAAAACAGTTGCTTATAGATTTGTCTACACATTTTCAATTCAGAGTAAAACACACATTATACATTTTAGATAATATTATTTATGCCAAAAAAGAAATGAAACAACTTAAGTAATCACTACAAAAGGATCAGTTTTGCTAATGATTCTTACAAAGATATTTTAGGATTAAATAATGTTTTATCTTTATAATTCGGGCATAGATTCATGTGGAAAATTAAGCATTACCTGTAATGATTCGTTCTTCCCGTGTCTCTTTTTCAGTTATTTCCACAGGTACTCCATCAATAATTCTGGTGTACTTTTTTATAATTGGTTCTGATAGTAGGGGAAGAGAAATGCTTTTGGCTTATCCTCATATGGCATTTAGACTTTCACAAGCTAGACATCTTGGTGATAATATTTCTTGAAATATTATCAGTTAGTATTCAACCATGATCATTTTTGGAACATATATCAAATAAATTCAGATCAATGGAGGTCTAAAAGGTAACAGTTATGCCCAGAATCTTGGGTGAGAGAGAGGGTCCGCTTAGATGCAAACTATCCATATCATACTTGTTTTTGGTTGTGGAATGAGTATTAATGAGAATCCAAGGAGTTATACATCACTGGAATAGGAGAACTATAATAAATCCTATTATTTTTTCAATTTATGAGTCTAATATGTCCTTTTGTACTGACATTAGTGTTTTGTTATATTCCATAATTGTCATTTGCATCTGCAAAAGTAATAAGTTTTGTTGGACCTGCAGACTTAATGGTTAAATTAATTCCAACAAGATCCATTAAAAGATAAACAATATTTTACTTCTGACTGGTTAACAAGAATCAATAGCTAAGACAATGATTTCCGTAATTTATATAAAATGAAAACCAAGAGAAAATGTTAGATGTTCAATATTTCTAGACCAACACTATTTCAAAATAATTGCAGTGGGTGCTGAATAGGCATCAGGAAACACATAACGCACCTCCATGGATCACTTTAGTTACCGTTTCACCTTCTTTAATCAGTCTGAATTCAGGTTCACCTTCAATGTTGGTCTTTTTAATTGTGGGTCCTGAGACATTATTTTAGAAGACAAATTGTCATGTTAAAGTGGTCCTTTAAGTTTACCAGAACAGGAAATTTATTTCAACATATGCTGTTACTCAAATGTCAAAGTGGTTTTAGGTTCTATGATGTCAATTTTAAATGTTTCCCATTGTCCTCAAATTACACAATATTTATGAGAAAAAATGACTTAGTCCATTGGTATGCTACTAAAATTACTTTCCTCTACATTAGTTTTTAAACAAATGTACAGACTCATTCATGCATTGGTAGTTGTAAAATATGATCACACAAAATATTACATGTGGATTTTGTGAATCATACAGTATGTACAAATCTGAATTGCTCTAATGATCATTGGGTGTAAATCTTACTTTACCACATTGATATCTTCCATTACTTTTTTCTTATTAAAATTTTTCATTTAATTTTTTAATTACTGAGTACCTTATTTATTTATTTATTTTTTATCTAATGGGTATAAGACTGAACATAAAAACACACCAACTTTACACCTACCTTTAAGATGCTGGGTTTCAGGTTGTATGGAAAAATAAATTTGAATACTTACCTTCTATGTGAGAATAAACAAAATTAACTAATTAATAGTTAAACAATTCTTCAAATGCAAAAGTTAAATAAGTGCTGCATTTGACTTGCAAAATGATTTTACTCCAAGAGAAAATCATTTTGAATGTTAGAAAGCTGCTTACTACATTAGTTAATTAAGACTATTTCATAGAGGTGTAAAACAATAGGAATTCAGTACATTTAACTCATACTGTAATATTCTTAAATAGTTGAATGTAACTGTATTGACTTATCTGTGAGAGGGTTTTCTTTTTTATTTGTTCAGAAATTGTCAAGGTATATAATTACCAAAATTAATTTAGAACAATCTGAAATAATGAAAATAAGAGTATAGTTCTTTCAAATTGTAAATATTTCAAGTCATAATATTTGATCTATAAAGTCAAGGGATACTGAATACAAAATGTAAGACCAGGTTTTTAAGATGTAATAACTTCAAAAAGAAAGTTTAAGAACAAGAAATGAGATAATAAAATATCAATATTTCTTTAGAAAGAACAAACTGAAATTTTGGAAACATCCTTTTAGTTAAGCTTTATGCAGCTGGGAATTTTATCAAAATTTTTTCCTATCTCTTCCAGCATCTAGGAGTGTACCTAGCAAAATAGATGCTCAATAACTATTTGTTGAATTGACTTTCAGGTGATTTATTTTTAATTCTAAAATTTGATTAAGTGCCTTTTATAAGAAGCATCCTAAAGTTGCACTGTGAAGCCTAATTTATTTAGAAAAATTTAAAAGACATCAATTAATCTGCAAATATCCAAACAGTAAGAATGTGATGACAGTAGCAATCTTTGAAGCTGGACACTTGTAAATGGCTACCAAGATAAATATTTGTTTCCTTCATTATATTTCATAAAAGTAAAATTTCTGAATTTTTTAACTTAAGAGTTATTAATGAAAAGGTGACATGACTCTGTTTTTCACTCGTGTTTCCTTTACAGCAAGAATTCAGGTAAAGTTAGCGCCCTTCTGTGCTCCTAACTGAGAAAAGATGAATAAGATCTAATATTACTGACAAGGATTGGGAAGATAAATTAGTTGAATAGAAAAGCTTGAAGGAAGAGAGAGGATTCTTTGAAAATAAGGATTGCACATGTAAATGATTTCAGTTTAAAAAGTTGTGTACAATTATAATGTAATATTTTAGGGAAACTGATTTTATAAACAGTATAAACATTTAAAAATCAATTATACTTTTTTTTTTGAGTTGGAGTCTCACTCTGTTGCCCAGGTTGGAGCACAGTGGCATGTTCACAGCCACTGCAACCTCAACCTGCTGGACTTAGGCAATCTTTCCACCTCGGCTTTCCAAGTAGCTAGAACTACAGGCGCATGCTACCACGCCTGGCTTATTTTTTTGATTTATTGTAGAGAAGAGGTCTCATCAAGTTGCCCAGGCTGGTCTCAAATCCCTGGGCTCAGGCAATCTTCTTGCCTTGTCCTCCCAAAATGAGTCACCGTGCCTGGCCCAATTTTATTTTTAAGGATCATTGTTTAATTTTTCCTTAAAACGATAAAAACATTTTTCAACAAAAATTTTGGTTGAAATTTCTTTTTAAAATTTGAAATTTCTTTTTAAAATACCAAATTGCATCAATATACAAAATCAAATAAATGACCACATATAAGTATAATATTAAAAAAAACAAGGAAGTATTTCAAAAAATAACTAAATTTTATGTCTCAAGGATGAATAGTAATGTAGATCACTATTTAACTAGGAAATCAACATTTGCCTATGCGTTTTTGATGTCTAAGTATTAAGTCATGGCTCACGTTAAAAGGCATGAGCAAGAGTATTCAAGAAGTTGTCATCTCAATTCACTGACTGAAAAGAAATAGCAAAATCAAAGATAGTTACAATAATAGTGTCCCTGAGATTCAACCAAAGACAAGATCTGCTCTCATTTCAGAAAACTATTTCTATCTTTCTTATAGAATAAAGAATATTAGCTGGGCTCGGTGGCTCAGCCTGTAATCCCAGCGCTTTCAGAGGCTGAGGTGAGTGGTTTGACTGAGTTCTCGGGTTCGAGAACTGCCTGGGCAACTTGGCGAGACCCCATCTCTCCAATAAATCAAAAATTAGCTGGGCATGGTAGTACGTGCCTGTAGTTCCAGCTACTTGGAAGGCTGAGGCGAAAGGATCGCCAGAGCCCAGCAGGTCTGGGTGACAGAGTGAGACTCCAACTCAAAAAAAAAAAAAAAAGAATATGAGTATTTTCTCTGTGGCAAGTCACTTCATTAAGGTACTTAAACATGTATATAAAAATGATTAAGATCTGATCCTTGGAGATGATAAAAATACAAGAAATGAGGATAATATTAAAGATGTTGGAGTTGGCTAACAGAGAAAAGAGATTACTTATTTAATATTCTAGTCTGAAGTATCAGGGGAGATTTATACAAATATATGATACTTATAATAACATATATGTTATGTATTATATGTACTTGTATCTTATATAAGAAAACATTTTTAGAACTGGGATTAAGTATTTTAAGTTTGACTCACTGCACAAGCTACTTATTTTTTCTGTTTCTGATGATCTAATTTTAAAATATATCATATATGTTTGTAATTTTAAATGCTTTCATAGTGTATAACTTCTGTGCTCTCTTAGGCTGTAGAATGAAAAATACCTGCATTTGTTTGGAAGAGCTTCTTGTAATGGTGCAAAAGAGGTCATGTAGGGAAATTAGGAATAAAGCTGCAAAAAGAAAGTATACTCTTGAATGAGTCTAACTTCAGCAAAAGTGTTCAAGATTTATTTGTTGAGTGAGTATCTGGGTACTAGTGATAATGCAAAGTCAATTAGATTCCAATTACATCAAGTACAAGCAAATGTACTGAAAGTATTAGGAATGCACCATCTACTTTGCTAAATAATTTGCACTCCACATTATGCAATTACATGAGCATGCCATTGGTATAGAAATATTTAGCATGTTAGTTTCAAAAAGAATGTAGATACATTCATAGAAATCAGTATTTTAATGGATTTTTTTCATAATTAAAGGAACCATGTATAACGTTGGTTTTTACCTTCAGTTTTGATAATAGGCTGAAGACTGCCTTCAATCACTTTAATTTTTGGTTCCACAACTTTGGTTATAATTTTAGTTGCTGGAAATATAGAAAGTGGAACATGAATGATGTTTACACAAAACAACTGGAACAAAATTTTTCTTTTCTTTTTCTTTTTTTTTGGTAGGGTACTAAGGTATTGGATATATATAGTAATATGTCTAGGCAGTCAGATACAGAAAATATCCATGATACATAATTTAATATCTTCTCATGTCCAGATGCTGAACTCTGATGTTCAGTGACTTGAATTTGTTGCAGTGAAATGTACACTCACTAAGTGAGGAATTCTATCTAGTAATCTATAATTTTAAATTGTACCACTAAAGCTCTTTACCTTCTTTTGTACTTCTTGAAAATATTGGCTGCATAGCAACAGAAGACAAATAAACAAGATTAATGTCATGCAATTCACAATGTCTTAAATTGCATTGTTGGATTCTTTTTCAATTAAAAGAAAAAAATGGATAGAGAAGACTTTTAACATGTTTTTCATGCATTTGATAACAGTGATATAGAGAGAAAAAAAAGTTCAGAATGTTTAAAAGTAAGAGTACATTTCAGTCAGACATGAGCTCTATTCAACAAATATATGATCAATATTTAAGATATAGGCTAAAATGTCTTTAATTTTCAGCTTCAGCAGCAGCAGCATTTTTTAATTTAAAGATTTATATTTTAAATGCATGTCATCTACCCAAGTAAGATAATCATGTGCAAAGCTTATTTAAAATAAGTCAACTATTTGGTTGACTTTGGTTGCACAAAATAACTGGAAATATGCCTCTGGAGCCATACAACCAGGGCTACCTATTCCTTGTCATTTATAATTAGGAGGCTTGAAAGATGGTTCCATTAGATAGTGGGCAACACTAAAGCTAACTCTGCCTTCAAAACAGATTGCATTGACATATCGGGGTGAGGTGCTGGTACAGCCTAGATTTTTGTCAGTTCTCACCACATGCTTCTCAAGTGTTTTGCTGTGTCAATTTTTTTTTTGAATTAATGTGGGTTCTAGGCCTTCATAGAGACAACATTTCAGACATATTAGATTTTGCATTTTGAGATCTCAAATTATGAAGCTCTAAAATATTAAAAATTGATGTGTTCAGTTATTGATTCCACAGATAGTCTTGCTACAGAGGAACATTTCCATGAAGATCAAATGCACCAGAGGTCTCTGCTGCTACTATCAAAATGGGTTAATTACTTTTAGCTTAAGTGAGTTTTTTTTTTTTTCATCATGTTAAGGAACTTGAACTTCTGGATGTTTAGTTGGTTGGTAGTTTTATTTCAATCCTGCTTTTCTAAAGACTTAAATAGCTGGAACAGGTTGTAGACTGAAGATTAATATTGACTTTAATCCTTTCCAGCTCAAGTGTTTTATATTGACAATGTGTATTAAAGAGCATCCCTCCCTCTACAATACAATTTAAAATATATGGTATTTTGAAAACAGGAATAATGTGCAGCAAGGAAATTAAAGAAATTTTAGCGACAAGTCAACAGAGGAACATACAAATAGAAGATTTAGTTTATTTAGTCTCTGCTTCTATTTGAAAATACTTCTTAATAACAGCAAATCCATTTTGGGAGGAGTAAAAGAAGCATTCTATATTGACATGTAAATCTCGGAAAAGTTTCAAGGGTTCTGAGTAGGTAGGAAAGAGTCAATGGATTTGTATAATTTCATAAAATTTAATGTATACTCTGGGAATGAGGATGCAATTTAGTAGGGGAATATAAATGAATTATAATATTCTGGCTTAGTGTAACTAAAGTATTGTATTAACATATATAGAAAGTAGTGGAACTAAATAGATAAAATAGAAAAGTTGAGAAATGTATTATATATGTGATGGTGATGGAGAAAAATGATATATTTGACGAACAGAGCCCATAAGGATTCTTGGATTTGTTATAAAGTATATTTTTAACAAGATTGTTTACTTTCAACCTGGAATTTATACCATGCTGGTTCATAGCTATTTCAATTAAATCTTTATAAACATTGCTGAGTTGGCCTGATAATGGAATGTTGTATGCTATCATCACATAATTGAGATCAACAAGAACAGAAGACATTTTGTTTTGCTCGTCACATTGACTTTGCTCCTTTTCCATATCTAGTGTAAATCTTAAGGGAATTTTTCTTAATTGAATAACTATATAAAATGGTATAATTTTCTAGCCAGAATAAACGAAGGGATTGAAGTAATGCTTTAGCTATTAATACATATAATTTGAGTCTTTAACTACAGAGCCAAAACAAAATGAAAATAATTTCTGCTTTGAAAGTTGCAATGAAAGAAAGGAAAAAAGATAAAAGAAGAAAAAGCCACAATGAAAAAGATATATGAGCTACATTTACGAGAGTGAAATACTGTTTATCATTAAGTAGTATAGAGAGTTAATTTTGATAATCTGGTAATGTCAGGGGTAAAAAGAACCTTTGAGTTCTTTTTAGGTTTACCACATGGCAGAATTTTAGTTCCTTTGTCCAGTTTTGGATGGGGAGACTTTTTGAATCACCATTTCGTAAACATTAGTATTCTTTGGCACACACTTCCCACCCTGTCCTTAGGTAGCTCAGAGCTTGAGGGTGAAGTGAACAACAAGTCTTCTTTAAGGCAATTTCTGTGTCTACACATCTAAATTTTCATATATATCTGCAGGGTCTTTTAGTGACCTCTCCGCTTTGAATGTCTTTTTTCCCCCTCCTTGCACTCTAGTACTTGGTTTATTGTCTTTCTTATATTGTATCACTCCTTTTTTTCCGATGAGTGGAGAAGGGTTCATTTAAGTTGAAAGATATAGCCAAACCTAGGACCTCAAGCCCTGTTTCAGGTGGAATGAGATTTGCCATCGCTTGGAATCCTAAATACCAGATTATCAATAATCTTCATTTGTAAATACAAAGAAAAATGTTGTTTTCGCCTTTTCTTTGCATCTTGCCAACTGTGTGGCAAATATTCATTATGTACTTACTATAGACAGTCATGGGGATTTCTTTGAAGGTGCTACCATGAACAAACTGAAAATAAATGATCATATTTAGTAATATGAAATGTGCTAGTTGTATCAAAAAACAAACAAACATGGCACTACTTTAATTCTTGGTAACATAAAAATAGTGACACTATCATTACACTTAATAGAAAAGAAGTCATCATATAAATTATCTACCGGGTTTTTACTATCAGGTCAGATGGCATAAAAATCATTGAATTTGTTACTCAGAGTTTTATTAATTATAGAATAATTAATTCAAATTTAAATAGATTTATTAAATACTACTTTGTGTTTTCTACTATTTTGACCCTGCAATGACATAGAAGCAAAGTACTTCTTTACCTTTAACCTGTAATTAGTGACAAATTTTTATAAGTAAATTATTTATTTTACGATTAAACTCAGAATCAAAACCGTATGACAGGATGATTTTTTTTAATTTTTGTACTTTTTATTTTCTCATCTGGACTGCAAACTTTTTGAATAAAGACCAACTCTGATTCAATTTCATATTTTTCATTAACCCTCAATACACTGGTTGGTCCAGAGTAGTTTTTAATAGCTATTTGTTGAACAAAACCTTGAAGAAATGATGCCATTTCTTTATAGAAAAGCAAGTGGTGAATAGGCAACAAAGAGCAATCCAACTTATTGATACATACATCTCTAGTCTCTTATGTAAAACCTACAATGTATGCTCAACATATTTGAAATAAATCCGGTAATGTTCTATACCTTAATTTGGATGTATTTGATCAGTTTATTAAGTATTTCCAGCAGCTGATCATTTCCAACAGGTGTGTCTATGAAGGAGAACATTCAGTAAATATTGATAAGAAAGTATGAAATAAAAATCTAGGTTCATATTATCACTTAGCTCAATAATGAGTTCAATAATTACCAACCTGCTGGATAGAGGAGTTTATCTACAACATGAATGACACCATTTGTTGTCATGATGTCAGATTCTTTTGATTTCAGTTCATTCACCAGAAGGGTATCATTTACCTATCAAAACAGAAGATAAAGTCAACAAGAAAATTAATAAAAGATGAGTATTAATATAATTTAATGATAGATGAATCCTATTATAAATTTACTCTGAACAACTTACTCCTTTCAGATATATTTTGCTTCCTTGTGTTGTCTTTAAAATATTAGTAACACCCGGTTCAAATCCCTTTCCAATGAAAACTCCTGGTGTCAGATGATAAAGAATGATGTTTTGAAGAGCATTTTTGTCTCCTAGAGAAAAATATACATATTTATTTCATAATATGAAATTTTGATAGTACAAGGGCTATGAAACAAAACATTTCTTTGTCTATATTACTTTTACATTGCATTTTCTTATAATGCCATTGTTCTTTCAAATAGCTATCAATGCTATGCCAAATCATACAGTCACTTCAGTCAGCTCAATCAAAGCATTATTACCCAACTTGCTGGAAGAAAAAATATGAAATTATTTTTGAAATCTTGACTATTTTCTTCTGTTAGCTAATTATATGGTCTTTAATATAAACAACATAAGTGAACATGTCACCCAACAACATGACTAAGAGGTTTACGAACAATATTGAGCAACCGTTCACACATCCCAAGTGGAATTAAAGGAAACTAAGTCTAGCTATGAATACAAAAGAAGGGATTTTTTTAGGCTGATAACTAAGTGAGAAAGTTTGAAGAAGAAGTAAGATCCTGAAATCAAGGGGCAAATATTTGGTATTTACTCACGAATCAGAATTTCCTTTTCTTCACTAGTCATTCCCTTAAAAGCATCATTGGTTGGCACAAATAATGTCCAATCTCCAGGTTGTGTTAGGAGCTCTTTCAAGTCTGCAGCTTCAAGTAGACTGAGGAAGACGCTAAGCCGAAAGAATTTACATTTTATTTTGTTATATTTGGATTTAGGTATGTTCATGCACAATGCATATAATAGGATAAAACTCATGTATTGTGGAAAGCATGAGAAAATTACTCACACATTTTCACGTTTTAAATGCAATTTTAAAGGAAATTTTATCATAAGAAAATTGTTGAACTTCACAATATGATTTTTAAGTTTCTTTATCTGTTTTCATATTATAAATCATGACAACACTTTATAGCAAAATGAAAACTTTTTAAATTTAATACTTCATGAAATAGTTATTGCTAGTATGAGAACTAGCTTTAAGACAATTTTTAAGGAGTAGATCAGTCTATTAGAGTGTTTCCACTCACAAAATCATATCATGGGGGAACAGGAAGCAAAATAAAAAGCATTTAAAACATACATCAATTTTGACAACATTTGTATGGACTTATTCTAAATTCTATTCTCAGCAATACAGGAGACGGAATGCCTTCTGGGATATGAAGTGTGAAACAAAAATATATCAACAGCTCTCATTCTTTTGTGGAGATGCAACTAATAGGCTTACCTAAAGCGCTTATCTTGTTTTAATTTTTCATGGAGGGATTTCTCTGCTGGTTTGATGATCTCTCGGAATATGTGAATGGCGCCGTTTCTTCCTTGCTTGCTTCCTCTCACCATACATGAATTTTCAATGCAGACAGCCTAGCAAAGAAAAGAATGATATATAATGACTGTTTTCTTGCCTGAAATTTCTCATGTGAATGTAGCTGCATAATTAAATTTATGGATTGGCCCTTTTGAGAGAGCACCTGGCCTCTGAGGCCAGAGAAAACAGCATCTTTTCTGTTTTCAGTGTTGTACAATCTGATCCCATACTTCTTTTCCAGCTAGATTGTCTACTGAAACCCAAGTTATCCTAGATAATCAAGCAAGAAGTTTGTCAATAAATTTCAAAAATTTCGTGGAATTCCATTTCTATATTTTTCATCACTTCTCTCCAGGTTTTAACTATTCCTTCTGACTCTCTTTTGGTCAATATTAGCCATAGAGTTTCTTGTCTTCAGTCCTCTTCTGTTCTTCACAAATATGTATCATATTTTTTGACCGTAAGATACTATCAATTATAAGTCAAGTCATTGATATATTTACATATGTATATACATATATATATACATAAATATACGCATATATATTTATATATGTATGTGAATAATTTAAAATGCAGTTGAGGAGCTACAGAGAGTTTTAAAGTTGAGGAGCTACAGAGAGTTGCATATTCATTTCTAGGTAATGCTTGACTTCCAGTGAAGTCATTTAGCAGTAGTTGCATGTGTTATTTGGACAGACACTGAACAAGTGCAATTAGTTGCACTGTAATTTTCATAAGTTTCTGAAATTTCTAGAAATTTTCTGTAAAAAATACCATCAGTACTATTTTATTGAGTCTAGAAATCTGTGTATCTATAAAATCTCTATATGTCTATCTTAAAAATCATTCAAAAGGGATTCAGTTGCTGAATTGTTATCACAATAAAATATCCTACACATTTGATTCTGTATAAAATTGCCTTGCAAATTGAAAAACTTATTTTAGAGGGATTTTGGTGCTTTCTGGAATTTAAAATAATTAATGCTTTAGAACATAAAATTGTTTATAATGAAATAAATACAAATCTGAGTTATGAATATATGACACTTTTTATGTAATCATATAACAGTCTTTTCACTCAGGCTATATGCACATGAATAATATTACAGTCACATTCATAAAACTCTGGCATAACTATTATTACAACATTCTTTGACAAATGTATGTCATCTGACATTTAGGTCAATGTGGATTTTTTTATCTTGTTCTGATTCACTTACAGTACGATACACGAAGACTCTGAGCTGTTTGCCTCCGATGGTCTCAAGTTTTTGTCCATTGTAAAGCTCATTAAGGCCAACTTTTACTTTTAATATATGATTCTGCAGAATTAATTTAAGAAGGCGCTGATCCATGCTCAGAGTATCATCTACAAGTAAATTCATTAAGAAAGAGCATGATTTTATGTAGAAAACATTAAAATTTATCTTGGTTAAAAAAATCATGAAAATGTATAATCCCTAATACTGTTGATATTATGGATCCAGTATTCATATGAGTCAACTAAATGCTCAAGAGCAAGAGGAAACTCAGTGATCGATTGCATCAAATGACTATAACACAGTTCCAAGCAGTTCAAATGATGAGTTTTATCTCAGAAAGGCCTATGTAGTTTTATGTAGCTAAACCATAATGGTGGCCAAGGTTTTGTCTGACAATTAGATGTTCATTAGTTTCATGAACGACTAATGATGAATCATTTGTAAATTCATCTTTATTACTGGTAAAAGAATCAAAGTACACACAATTTTAAAGGTAAGTTAATGTGGAAACATATGAACATTTTTATTACAAAGAAGAAAAGCAGCACTTCTAGTAATTTGACTTTTCTTCCAATTAATAATTTTCCACATCACAATTTAGTACTTGGGAAACATAAAAAAGGTATTTACTTTTTTAATTACTAAATTTTGCTTAACAGTTTAGATATGTCTTCACAAATATTTTTTTCTGGAAATAAATGATAGGTTGCATTAGTCTAAACACTTTCTGTAAATAACAACTATTTGGTGAACCACTTACATAATATTTCACATCACAATATAGAAGTGTATTATAGTCTCTTTTTATTTTTTTCAATTTGACATTCTTACTGTTCGAATTTTTAAATGTGAAATACATTTATTTAATTCTAAATATTACTATGTTGGTATCAAATAAATCAGATTTATTTTTCTTAAGATCTACTAACACATCCTTACATGTGCTGGAAATGTTCTAAGATTCATAAAATAATTCACTACTACCTGTTATAAACTTTCATTCCCTGTAAATTATTATTCATTATAATGAAATGTTTTGAAATGAAGATTTTAGTAAACACAGCAACAGTACTAACAAATTGTATGTGTAGTCAACGTAGAAGTTAATCAACACCTTACAAAACATCTATTATTTCTTGTTGCAAACCATCATGGTAAAGAAAAAAAAATATGCAGAGGGAAAGCAGGAACATGTGTCCATACATACCAGAAAATGCATTATTCACAGGTGCCAGCAACGTGTATTCTCCATCTGGCCTCAGAGAAGATGCCAAGCCCAGTTGGGCCACAAGTTCTGTGAAAGTGGTTTGCTGATTCCCAGCAAGCTCAATAACTTGTTTGGCTGAAAAATAAACCATTACTCTGCTAAAAATGTCATTATTGCTATTATCATCATCATGAAAGAAGTAAGTCAATTCTTGGCTGTTTTTTGATATTGTAAGCTATTTACTGCAATGTCACTGTGACAAGGCATTTGCCTTTCCCTAGAAAAAGAGTGCCTGATTCCATTTTGGGAGATTAATAACCACAAAGGATTTCAGAAGAGAAATATGTTTCTGTCTTTCTACTAATAGTTTAATTCTCTGTGACTCACCTCTCACCTCTCTACTCTGTGGATGCCATAACTCTCTCATTTATCCAACATTGAGCATTTGTTTACATCTTTTCTTCTGTTTCCAAGAAAAACTTTGACACTGTGAGAACCTTTATAAATATTAGATGTTAGGAAACCTGAAAAGCCAATATTCCATGCCTGAAGTGCCCATGGCCAAACAGGCTACCTATTTAGTACTCGACTAGCTCACTGTTCATTGGTTTTGTTTTCCACAGTCTTTTCACTGCATATCCATTTTTCATTTACTTGCCCTTTGAGACACCATACTTGGTAAATAACAGTAAGTAAAAACTATGAAATTGTTGCTTACCAGAATCAGGAATTAGAACCTGATCAATCAAATGGATCACACCATTATTTGTCACGATATCTTTTTTGTTCACCATTTTGATTCCGTTTACAGTTATGCTGTCACCATCACATCCTATCTCAATTGTGTTTCCTTCTAGGGTCTCGAAGACTGCTCCTCCCATAATAGCCTCAGAGCACTGAAGAGTATTTAAAATATGATACTTCATGAGAGCTGGAGGACAAAATAATAAAGAACAAGCTTTTAGATGAGGGGAACTAATATTTGACACTTTAGATATGTGATTTATTATGGAACTAAGTATTTCTAAGAAATATAATACACATATAAAGACTGAAGGATTGACTGAAGTCTTTTAAATCCTACTGTTTATGTTCTAAAGTTTTTTGTTCCATCAGTTACTCAATAGAAATAGCTCAGTTTGATAGAAAGTAAAATGAAGAGCAGATCAACTTTAGGATATAATTTATGTTCTAGAAAATGTGGTTAGATAAGTTCTAGGTATCATAAGTATGCAATTTTTGATAAGAAAGTAAAAATAAGTAGTTCTTGATGATACTTTTTCTAAAATACTCAAGCAGTATCTTGCTTCAGCTTCCCATAACAGAATATCTGAACATAACTTGCAATGGATTTGATAGAAGCTGAGAGTAAGACAAACTGTTTCCTAAAGAAAACACCTAGAAAGTACCCCAAATAAAGATGATTTCTTGAAGAACATTGGACAGATATATGCTATAACTGTGTGATCTCTATTCTGCAACCTAAAAATTTTTCATCTTAAGTTTGTATTTGAGGATAGGCTGAGTACGTGAAATGTACCAACACAATGTAGTATCTGATGATAGAATGGGAGACAGGAAAGCAGCCAAATTCTTCTGTGTGTCAGTACTTAGTAGCCCAACTCAATTACTTATTTTGGCAAAAATATAGAATTAAAAGCACTGAATAATATGTATGCAATATTAAATTTTTATGACCTAATATTTCTTTTCAGCATTTGCTAATCTTTCCTAATATCTGCTACTTATGTACTTTAAAGCAGAACAAAAATGTGATCTTAAGGACACTCTTATTACTTAAGAATTATACTCTGTCTACTCTTTTAAGGATTTTTAAAGACTTTTGTTTTTATAGTGCATCTCAGAATAAAAGTTTTTCTTTCTCTTTGAATATTAAAGCTGATATTATAAGCAAAAACTAGTGTCTTATTGATTTCCTTTTCTTCCCAGAATTCTGGGAGACTTCTCAGAAATGAAGTCATTTTATTACCTTCGGAAGCCACTTTGTCTCCCATAATTCTTTCCAGGACACCTCGTGGGAGTTTCTCAAAGGCCTCATTGGTAGGAGCAAAGAGTGTGAAGTGACCATCTCTTCCCAGTGCTTCTAATATATCTGATGTGATGGCAGCTGCCTGAAATACAAAGTCTCTTTTAGAGACTTGCCCATTGCAAATTCAAAAGAAAATTACAACATGCTTAGCCTAGGTTGACATGAGAAAGTTGATTTCTTCACTATAGAAGTTTTTTTCTTGTTAGATTTTTAAAACATTACTTTTTGACACTATCAGCTATGTCTTTTCCAACTTTCCTCAAATTGTATTTGCAAGAATGGGAATTTTACCCATGTTTGTGAAACTAGAAATATCCAGCAGAGTATATAATAAATGAGATGAACACATTCTAAATGCACTAAATACATAGTAGTCATGTAACTAATCATTATCTATCATGTCCATAAAAATACTATTACTTCATATAAGGATATGGCTTCTCCTTTGTATAATGAAAATAGTTTCATTTCAAGAATCATGTTTGTTAAATTTCTGACAGATTTATTTAATAGCATTTATGTTGTGCTTAGATTTTGACAGGGGAAGAGGAAGGATTTCAATGATCCTAGGCAATCTGCTCTTGGACTTACTCTGAAAGATGAAAGTTCATCTTCTGCTTCAATAAAGTCTTGAATTGAGGTACCAATTTGTGTAAGGACACGGTCAATGACATGAACAACACCATTTGTTGCAATCTGGTTCCCATGGATGATTCGAGCACAATTAACAGTGACAACCTATAATTATTTGAAAAAATATCAAATTACCGAAATCAAAGATGTCCATTGACCCCTGAGACAGCAAGCTCATTCCCAAATTTTATTTATACTGGTAAATTAACACAAAGAAGCCTATATTTTAAATAGAAAAACTTTGGATGAAGATATCTTGCTATATCTAAAAGGTACTGGAAGAGAAAATGGAGCTAATTTAGAACCCAAGTCCAGACTTCCTTGATATATCTGAAACCACAAGGCAAAATTGTTTTTTTTTAATTCAAATTATTGCTTTTATTCCTCTCTTTCTTTTATGCAGAGAGTTATGAAGTATTTTTAATGTAGGACAGCGAATTATATAAAGAAGTCTAATTAGTCCTAAAATAATTTCTGATAAAGAGAAATAATCATTGCGTAAGTTTATACTCAGTTTTTTTAAACAACAATTTCCTAAATATTACTCATTATTGACCTATTTTGCCCCTAGGGAACTTAACTATTTATAGAGTCCTATGACCCTTTTGGCAGTTTCCCATAAAGATACTGATCCAAATACACAAGAACCCCAATTAATATAATAACCAGGGAGTGAATACAAGGACACTCATTCTCTGATTATCCTTTTTGCCATGCATAAACACATTTTTCAACATCAGTTATTAAAATTTCCTTTTTTAGAACACTTAAGTATACTGTCAATGAGCTGTCAGCATAATTTTTCCTTCACAATCACTCTCTAGTAGAACTTAGTAACTGGATTGGAAATTTATATGCCCGAGGTTTGGGGGAAAGTCATGATATAGCGCTTATTTTATTATTTCAGTGAACATTATATAAACGATATTGACACAATTTCAAAAAGATATTTATGAGCAATGTACTTTTTATTAGTGAAACTTACCCCATTAGGATAATGGTTAATGAAAAGTCCCAAATTGTTATACATTGAAGGAACAATCATGCCATTTTTTAAGTCCTTGGTCAACATTCTCTTATTAACCATGTGGCTATGTAAAGCATTCAATAACTCAACATTTACATTGCTTTCCAAACCTCTACGGATATCCTAGGAAAAATTGAAATGATAGAAATTTAATTTACTGTGGATCATTACTAAAAGTCATATGATCACCCTATATCTAGTCTCTTGATGTTTTCTCACTGCATTTTCAGATATTCACACAAAATTACAACAAATAATTTAAAATTATATTATCCTAGTTAGTTGAGAAATTATGGGCTGGTTGCAATGGTTCACACCTATAATTCTAGCACTTTGGAAAGCTGAGGTGGAAGAATTGCTTGAGACCAGAAGTTCAAGTCCAACCTGAACAACATAGTGAGATCATGTCTCTACAAAAAATAAAATAATAATAATAACAGTAATAATAATAATAATAATAAGTAAATAAAATACATTTTGTAAGTTTAGGTACTCAGATAAGGATCTTGAATCTGATAGAGTGCCTGGACAGACCATTTTTTTACCAATATGCTGATGAAGAGATATGATGAAGAGATATGATGATAAGACATTGGAGGATATGAAATCATTAGCTATTTAAAATATCTTAAGTGGCATTATATTTGTGTATAACACTTGAGTTTTAACATGGTTTCATGTTTATTTCACATAAAATTCAAGAAGTCAACCACCTGTGCCTTTTTAATCTATCCAATGCCATGTATTATATTGTACTCACTGCTATAAGAAATACAGAGATATATAAAGCAACATCTCAACAATTAAGGTACTTGTCATATAGCAGTAGGTAAAAGTAAGCATAATAAGAGGAGAAAAAATATTTTCTGTGATCAAATGAAGAAGGCCAACTATATGAAAAGTAGTTTGAAGATGACCCTTGACTCAGAGTAGATACAATTTAAATGGGTAGGAATGGTGTGATGGTCAATCCAAGTCCAGTTGCTGATTTAGGGTGAATGTTGGGAAAACAAAAGTTATCTCATTTGGTAAACACATACTGTTATGTTTCTCAGGTAAAATTAAGAACTAAATTCAAAAAGGTATATTAAACAATAATGTAGAGGACTTTAATAACTAAATAAGGAGTAAGTTAAACTGTCCATAAGGAAGCCCTGAAGGTTTTGTGGCACTGGAATTTAAAGATTAAAGCCAGAATTCAGGAAAGTTAATTGTGTGGCAAAGCACAGCAGAAATGAGAGAATTACTTAGGAGGATCACATTAGATGAAACATGGGTATTAAAAAGAATTGGATAATGAGAGGTAAAGAGGGATCAAAATTTTCAAATGTGAACATTGAGACTGGAGCTACTGATTATGGAAAACAGGCAGCAGAAAAACAATTATTTGTGGAGAGAAAGAAAACAGCATTTTTTTGGATGGCTTTCGTTTAATGATGCAGATGAAATATCCAAGGAGAAATTTTTTTTTTTTTTTTTTGAGTTGGAGTTTCACTCCGTCGCCCAGACTGGAGTGCAGTGGCCGCTCCCGGCCTCCGCAGCCTCGACCTGCTGGTCTCCGGCGATCCTTCCGCCTTAGCCTTCCGAGTAGCCGGAATTACAGGCATGCGCTACCATGCCCGGCTGATTTTTTGATTTATTGTAGAGATGAGGTATCGCTGTCCAGGCGGGTCTCGAACCGGCAGACTCAGGCAATCCACTCACCTCAGCCTCCCAAAGGCGCGGGATTACAGGCTGAGCCACCAAGCCCGGCTCCATTAGGTTTTTAAAATTACCGTTCTATTAGACAGATCATCTAGAATTGCATACATAATCTCACAAACAAAAAAGAAATAAGAAAGAAGTAACATAGGATAATACTGAGTGCCCTTTTAGCCCATTATTGATTTAGTTTTTTTTTTTTTTTTAAATTAGTCTATAAGTCTACTGGAGAGTTATTCTATTTATGGATGTATTAAAATGTTTTACTTCCTGCAATAAAGTGTTTCTTTAGATATCCCCATGTATGCATAATAGAAAGTTTTAAAGTTTCTATTAATATCTCAGTTAATAAATCAATTAAAATTAAATAGTAACAGCAAAAAATAAATATATTGATAAAAATAATGATTTACAGAATCCAAGTTGTCCCAAGCGTCATTACTCGGTGCGAAGTAAGTGAAGGATCCCTTCCCTTCTATCTCTTCTCTCAGTTTTGAGACATCAGAGTAGTGCTGTGTTGTAGTGGCTCCAACGATGCCCAGAGTGCCATAAACATGGTCAATTGGCATAACTGAAACAATCAAGAAATGAAGAACTGAGGATAATATTTTCAGTATATTATTTCATTATCATTTAATATTTGCACTTTCTCCATTAAATTTAACTAATAATTTTAGTAATAAAATTCTACAAATCATTAACTTATTATGAAAATTAACTTTTGAGTACTAAATAATAAAATATTATTAAAATATTATTTCATATGTCCTTTGTGTTAAGAAAAAATAATTTTAAACTATCATTCTGGGTTTAAACTTTAGTCTATTTAGTTTTCAAAACTGCTATATCAGTAATAACTAAGTTATAGGTAAATATCAAATATCAGATATATTAATTAAGTCTGTAGTTTTTAACGTATTTGAGTCCCTAAAATAAATATGTAGACTTGCTTATTCTCATTATAATTTCAGAAATAAAATAGATCAAAATTGTTAATTCTTCCAGATTATTTCCCCTCAGAAGAAAGATTCATGTATGAATGCCAACCTGAAGGGATTTATTTAGTAATATGTAGCCAACATATTTTTCTATATGATTTGAAAATTAGTAATAGATTTCTATATGACCCTATATGATTTGAAAATTAGTATATTTGGCCCGCGGGTTCGAGACCCGCCTGGGCAACTTGGCGAGCTCTCATCTCTACAATTAATAAAAAATTAGCCAGGCGTGATAGCGCGCGCCTGTAGTTCCAGCTACTTGGAAGGCTGAGGCGGAAGGATTTCCGGAGCCCAGCTGGTCGAGGCTGTGGTGGCTGGGAGCAGCCACTGCACTCCAGTCTGGGAGTGAGACTCCAACTCAAAAAAAAAGAAAAAAAAGAAAGAAAATTAGTATATTTGAATAATAAGTATAACACCAGGATATAAAAAGAACCCCCAAAAGATGGAGAAATTGAGTCAAAATTGCAAGTCTAAATTTATCAAGATTCCATGTGAGTCCTATGCTTAGATTTAAAAACAATTCTAGAGAGACTGATAGCATTTATGTAATAAACCTGTAATAAATTTTAATTTATTATAAATTAAACCTGAGCTAATAATATGACATGGTTACTAGTGACAATAGCAAAAATGCAAGGTCTCCCAAAATAAGGTACTTGTCTTGGTATACTCTCAGTTGCTCAGACTCAAATGGATTGTCGATATCAGTGTAGATTACATTCAGAAAAACCATTGGACTAGAGACGTTCTATGGTTGGTGTTCATGATGGGGAGGACTTCAGAGTTCAGTCACATTAGAAGATTGGAGATGACTAGCCCAGAAAGCAAAAAATTTTGTGGAGGAAGAGAGGGTAGTTGGGGAAAGGGCATGATGATTGGCATAAAATATCTGAATTTTATTTCTATTTTTAAAAGGAAATAGATGGACTATTTTTTCTCCAGTTGGCAGAGTTATAGGAACATTATAAAATTAGAGCTGTTTAGCTAGAGTAGAAGATGACCTTGCCAAGTAGTTAAGATTCGTGTTTCCAGACAAGTTCAAAGAAAGGGATTTTGTAGAGAAGATTTTTGTTCTAGAAGGGAAGTTGAACTAATTTAAATTTATGACTAAATTTTTGCTGTATTGCCTAGCATCCAGTGCATGAGAAGTATGTTCTAATATTTTATCACCATGATATATTCATAATTAAAACAAAGATATGAGAAATGTATCTTGGATTTGTGATAGTACTAAATACACACATACACACACAAACACAATTGGCTTATCTGTAAACTACTTCAATTTTTTTCCTCGCATAAGACAAGTTCATCCTTTAATTCAGGAAATCGAGATTTTTTTACCTGCTGGACAACCTTTCATTCCTTCCATTCTCATATAACCAGGGCAACATTCATATAACACAGTCCTGTATATTGGAAGAAAATTAATATTTAGATGTTAGATGAAGAACTACATAAGACATTTTAACATAAACTAGGTAGAACATATCACTTATTACCATGATTTATTGAAAGTCTAGAAATTAAAGCTTTTTCTGTATTTATATTAGCTTGATTTTTCTCTACAGTTTCATGGTACTATGAAAAAGTTCTAGAATATTGAATATAGAATATTGTGAAAAATGAAATCTGGATCCTAATACTAGTATTTGGTATAGAGGTGAACCTTAAAGAAGTCATTTATTAAGTTTGAGTCACGGTTTCCTCAACTGTTTAACATGACTATAGTAACTATAATACCTATACATGGGGTAATTGTGAATCTCGAATAAAATAATGCTTTTAAAGTCATTTTGTAAACAACAAATTACTAAAATGTTTGCTAGTATAATTACAAAATACACTAGCCAATTTTAATCATAAAATGCTATCTCATTTCTAACTAAAATAAGTAATGCTATTTTTAGGTTTGAATTGTCAGTAGAGTTGCTAATTTGATAATATTAAATATAAATTTGTTGTAAAATTTGGAAAAACAATTTAAATAAGTTTCTTTTAAGTTGCTAGAGTACAATATTCAAGGAAATATTGTCCTATTTAAAGTTAATAAGGTGTATTGAATTCTGTAGGCAAAAATTTAAAAAATATCAGAAAATTCAAGCAAACAAAAGTATACACAAAATGACTATCTAACTTACTATATTTTGAGGGAAAATAGTAATCTATGTAATTACTTCCATGTTTTCATCTTACTAGTACTATAATCCTAACTTTCGTTTTATCACATTTCATAGAACATTTTCTGGAGTTCTTCAGGATGTAACATAGGCAATATTTTTAAATTAAAATTTACATAATGATGTATATTTTTTTTAAATAGAAATGTTGGGATAATGCTATCAAATAACTGAAATAAGAGGACTATTGCAAGTAAAAAATGCATACTGTTTTTAAATTTTCAGTTGCTAAATACCATGTCATACAGATTAAGAGAATTATAGATTAATTATTTTGTAATTCAGCAATTAAACATAAATTAGCTTATTAAGATGTTATTTCTTTTCTAGCTTTTTATCTACTTGTGATTCTAGTACTCAAGAAGTATGAATGAATGAAAGAATTTAGGCAGTTTAGGAGAAAGATCACCAACTATAAGAAATAAAACTTTTTATTAATATGACAAAGATAATAATAAGAGCATATTTTTGAGAAGCAAAAATCTGAATGATATAAAAGATTATCTTATACAGTTAAATAAATGTAAATAAGCATTTTCAAATTAAAGCTAAGTCTATAAACTAATCATCCAATGTTCTGTGGTCCTGCTTATGACTTTGGATTCATATTCTTCATTTGTTAATGAAAAATTCTTATTATGTAATGTTGTCTTAAATGTAACTTTTAGATTTTAAAAATAGACAAAATTAAGTGTGAAATGCCAATTTCAAGTAATTCTCTAATTTTAATAAGATTGTAAGAATAGTTAGTACTGGAAACCTAACAAGCTATATAGGGATCTTTTAATAGGGCTCCTGAAATACTTTTATTTACATGGATCTGCATATAAATAAATTTTTTATTGGATGTCAAGAGATTAATTAAAAATTGCTTATACATTAGCTTTCAAATATACTGAAACAAACAAACAAAAAAATGTGCTCAATCCAGAAACTGATAACACTTATTTGAAGTAAAATAGTAACTAGAAAAAGAAATTGTTTATACAACAAAAATTTCTATAACACATGCAAGTATAACTCAAGGATCAGTCTTACTGTAGAGAATAAATGCACTTGATGAGATAAAATTCCAACAGTTGGTTGTAATTTCAGCTGATAACATAAACAGTGTGTTTATGAGTAGATGTTTTGGAATTAATAAACTAGCTTTTTCAGAACATTTATGTCACAGAAAACATGATGTTCTCATTGATCATTAGGACAAAGCTAGAATATAAAAAAAAAATCATTGCTCTGCACAGCTCTAAACATGGGAAATTTATCTTTTCATAATAGTATCTAAAATTTTATGGAATGCCAACTAAAAATATAATTGACATTCTATAAAAGGGAGTCTACAGAATGTTATTATTGCTGGACCAATATGCATTGTGGGCAATATCTTAAACACAGGAAACTTTATGTTTTTCTTTAGGTCTGCCCAGTTTACTTTCCCCAAATCCCTAGAGCAACTGTTCAATGGGAAGGCAAACATTCCTATCAACTGATACATGGAGTCCTAAAGATATCTCTGGGAATTTAACAGAAGCAAGCAGATGGCAGATCAGGCATTCTTCCTGTCAATATTATTGATTTCTTTAGTTATTTAAAACTAGCATTTACATTTATTTCAGTGCACAGATGCAAATTTGTTTTTGAAAATGATGTTACTTTGGGAAAGAAATTTAATATAATCGAACAAAGGAGACTCTGTTACATTTCTGGTAAAAAGCCAGGCTCCAAGGAAAGGATTTTTTTTTTCATGGAAAGAAAGAATCTAAGAAAGAATCTTGCTGTATGCTCTGTACAAGCCTTGATATCTTTAATATATTTACATGGCTAAAGTAAGAGGATAGCATACTTCTTAAACTTCCAGGAAGGATGTAATAAAAGATTTTCCCTAAATATTTCAGGGAGCATGTCCTCTCTTATCTAGTTAGCGTTCATTCTAAATAGGCCTTATGGTATCCAAGCATATAAAGAACACAGGGGAACACTCAGAGCCTTAGTATTCCCATCTGGGACTTGACTTGTCACTACTGACTTGCATTACACTTGTGTGAATAACTCACAAGACTAGCAGATGTCTTCAAACTAATAGTAATAATGTCCAGGTCAAAAAGTAACATTAGATTGCAATTCTGTTAAGCCAATGAACAGGGGGTGGGCAGCAGTCTTGTGGTGCCCTAGACTTAATTACCTTGAGGTAGATACAGACCAGTTTAGATTATATGCCTTGTATACATGATTCTTTCTTAGTAATAAATATAATCCTGTGCATTTCAAATAGATATCTGGTCATGACCCTTTTCATATATATGTGTGTGTGTGTGTATGTGTGTGTGTGTGTATGCATTTGTTTAAAATAGTTTAATTATAAGGACAATCGATATTATGAGTTATAGTTAGTAATTTCACATTCATTCATAAATTTATCTTCTTTGAAACTCTATAATACAGGTATTAAATCCAAGTTTCACAAGTAAAGTCTCCAAGAGGTTAAGTGTTTCCGTATTTATTGTTTATATTAGTATTATTAGCTTAGAGATGAGTTTTTAACCAATTTTTCCACCAATTTAGGATAACCAAATTTTAATGATAGTATGCTAATAGATTCTTTTTTAGACTTTTTGATTCTCTGGACATCTATCTCTGAGGGTGGAATCCAAATTAACAGGAAGCGTGGAGGAGCCATTTCCACTGTTTCATTGATTGAGGGTGGCATCTAAAACTTTCTGATTGAGCTACTTATTCTATCTATGACTCAGTTCCCACACTGTAAAATTAAAAAATTTGGCCACATGATTGATTCTTAACCTTTATAATCCAGAATTTTTATTATTTTTTGTAGATTTTATTTTTTAAACTTTTATTTTAAAGATATGGAGTACAAGTCATGATTAGGCATACAAGTGGACATGATGCAGGTAAAGTTTGGGGCCTCTCTTTGGTCCTCACTTTGCCTGGTTTGAAATCAGGTACCCTTATTGATGTTGGGTACCCCCCCTACCCCAGCAGCATCCTGCTACTGCCAATCCCTTTCTTATAGTATTATGGTAAATGTTCAGGGTCCACTTATGAGTGAGAACATGTGATACTCTGTTCTTTCTTTCTGTGACAGATCACTGAGTATTATAGACTACAAATACTTATTGGTAGGAAAACCAAAAAGCATGTCTATTAAGCAATAACAATGTTTTTCAATTTTAAGCTAATCAGGAAATATATAATTAAGTTGAAACATTGTCATCTTTTTAGTTATTGAAATATTACATATAGAAATGAGTTTCCATTATCACCGTTGTGTACCTGTGAGAGATCTGGCAGCTTGAACTAAGAATCACTGGATTAAACAAAAAAAATGAAATTCAAGGTTTTTTCCCCAGTGTTAGACTTTGATGAAAACTCTGAGGCAAACTGAAGTATTTTAGATAATTTGCAAATAACTGGAGGTAAACATGAACTATTACATCAGAAACCCAGTATATTTTAAATCAGTTTGTTCTTCTGGTCTGCTTTTTTATAAAATGCAGAAACTGAGGCACAGAGGTTAATTGATTTGCCTAAGATAAAAGAGGGCCAAATCAGAAATAGAAACCACATAGTCAATTGCTTACATGGATTCTATGACAAATTGAATAGTGATGTCATCTGTCTCCTTCAGCCTTCATAACACGTGGAGTTAGGGAGAAATATGAGTTCCACTGGTTATAAAGGAGATGCAGGGAGAATTTCACTATTCACATGTATTTTTTTTTCTGTTCTTTAAACCTGCCCCCACAATTTGGGACACTATTTTCCAGAAGGATGGTGTATACACCTAAGGGAAGAAATATGCATCATGGCGTTGACTTTGGAAGTGACACATTATGAAAAAGACTTACGTTTTCTTTCCACAGATGGCACCTTGATACCAGTTCCTACAAGTGCTGAAATATTTCTTTTTGGTGCCCAAAATCTGTTGAAGGGCACAGACATTTGGGCTGGAAGATAAGATGAAGAAGGAAAAAAAGGTTAATGTCCTAATAATGACTAGTTTTCATATTTACAGATCAGATGGTAAAAGTTAAGATGTGAATTTGATATTCAAAGATGTGATTCTAGCTTTGCAGAACTATAACTCTTGACCCAATCTTCCTGAATCATTGGAAAAGCTAAAGTCTGTGGGAAAAAAAGACAGAGAGAAAAAGAGGAAAGGGGGAAAAAAAGAGAGAGTAAGAGAGAAAAGTATAGACCTTTGAGAGTAAAATACAAGTGCTTCACAAAGCTAACCTAATAGAAATACTAAAACAGCATTAAGTTTAACATGATTCTGTTTCTATGTGTCTTATTGCTTTTAATAGTGAATAATCCACTGACCCTTTAGAAAGCAAATGTAATCATTTGGGGGACGACAATGGCTTTAAAGATGTCTGGAACAATGAGAGATCAGAAAGCAAAGGAGACAATATTAACTCTGTGCACAAACACTATTCTCTATAATTTTCTAGGTATTTAATCCAGAAGTAAATGAGTGCTAAAATGAACTTTTAAATGATATGGTTGTCCAAAGTAAAGGTTTATCATTTGAACAAAAGTAATAGATTAGAACATGCTCTGTTACAATTGTGTGTGTGTGTGTGTGTGTGTGTGTGTGTGTGTGTGTTTCTCTTAAAGAGATAGAAGTCTTATTTTACTGTAAGACAAGGAAGCTTTTGAACATTATGAAAATCCCTCTGAGTCATAGGAAGAAGTGCCAATATACACTTTAAAAAAATTATAAATGATTGGTTAACTTACTAAATTAAGTCTAATAACTTTTTAAAATGTTAAGTTGTAGTTGCATTTGTTCTATGAAATATAAATAATTTTTACAAATTTTACAGAATACATAATTAAACAAAAATCTTTAAAGGATTCAGAGAACTAGTTACATTACTCAGCATTTAACTTTCATATGTAATTTAAATAAGATTTCCTCTAACATCATGTGAGATAGTTCTAACCTGTTTACATAATAGCTCCTAAGAGTAAATTATCTAATTTTGAACACTCCTTCCCAGATTTTTGAAATAAAATTAAAACACAAATGAACCAAATTGTAAAGGAATGAGCTGATACATTTTGCTAATTAGATTAAAATTATATAATGTTTCATAAAAGCAGTTACACTCAAGTTATTTTGACAGCAATTCTTAAAGTTAAAATGCATATATAAATCATAGAATACTCATCTTATCCTTTTTCTTGTTACTTTCTAAGAAGCAGGAAAAAAACTGAGATTTATATGAGAAACTTTATGCATAGTTGCACCTATAACAAACTAAGAAAAAAAAAAAAGAAAAAAAGGTTTATAAAACCAAACCAGTGACTTACCCCTGCTCCCGGCCCCTGATACGGCTATGAGCCAAAATCTTGTCATAATGACCATTGGCATTTGCAGAGTTAACAACAAACAGCAAGAGCAGAGAAAATATGGATAAAAAAGGAATCATCTTTAGTCTCTCCGTTGCAATTAGTTTGTGAAGAGAACTGGCAGTGGGCTTTGGAGAGCTCAGGGTTTATATACATGTCAGAGTTGTGGGAGGGAGCACTGTATCAACCTGAGAAGCTGAACTCTTTCCAAGAAACATCAGCAGCTTCACATTGCCAGCTAAAAGTCTGTTTTTGTTAGTTATATTTACGGAACATATTGAGTTACTTGTTTATTTCTCATTATAAAGATGATATTTATTTTTAATAATATGAAATGGCTTTTTGCATGCTTATGTTTTAATTTTGTTCTTTTGTACTTTAGAGGATTTTATGGAAAATGCTTTTATGTGAGTTTTAAGGAATATTCTGCAATCTATCCTTTTTGGAGTACATGTCTGTGTAATGAAAATTATTATTTGATCTTATCATGGTTTACAACAGAACTGAAAGGTTATTATTTTTCACCAGAAAACAAAACTGGATGCAAATCTGGCAATCACAAGGGAATAATGGCTGTTGATTAAAAACAAATTCTGGAAAGATTTAAAACTTGTGTATAAATATGAAGTGAGAATCCTAACTTGCCAAAGGAGAGTCTGCATTTTTTTTCTCGCAATCCTGCTACACTGAGGAGAAACCTCCCATTTCCCATCTCTTTGCAAATATCAGGGAATATAAAGAGTTAACATACATTTGCTTTTGGTAAGTCTCCCTAACTTTTGAAATAAAGCAGAAAGGAAAACATTTTTGTCTTACTGCTTTTCATCACATACTTCACATGATGTTGAACAGCTCTACACAGCACATCTACTGATAGCCACTGATCAAAAGCAACCTCTGTTGGAAACAAGTATTACTAAGCTAAAAATACTAGAATAATTAAATACATGCTAAGAAATAGGACACTGCCAAAATGATTTTATCTGATTCTTCTGAGTTTATCAAGAGTAACTAAAACTTTTTAATGTTACAATATGCAATCGCTAACCAAGAGAAAGTACATTCTTACCACTTCACCCATGTCAAATGTTCAGAATATTCGGGATACAGGAGTCTGGATGTCAGAAGGCAACAATAAACTGAAATGATAACTGCAATCAGTCTCTTTGACTAAACAAGTTACACATCACTATGAAGTAAAAGTGTAACTCCAATGAATTTTGTTGCAAAGTGCTCCTTCTCTAAGGGCATATCAGTGTTTTTTCCCATTGGCAATACAGAGGAATTTTGTCTAGGTTCTTGCAGTTGTCCAATTGGAAGAGATTTTAGGAGAGGCTAGATTTGGCCAGAGAGGATTCTCAGTATCAAAGGAGTTATGTTTGATGTTGCCATATAATTTTATCATGGGGTATTAAAATGATTCTACACCTTGCTGCTTAGTTTATTAAGAAAATACACAACAAATTCTGAAATATGATTCAGAGCCCTCCTCAATTTGACGATCTTGGAATTAAGGTATGGAAAAATCCTGGGTTCCTTGTGGGAAAAAGAGTATTGATCTATCATTTATTTTACACTGAATGGAATTATTCTAGCATCATCTGTATGTCTCTGGTTTTCTTTATATAATAGCTGTCTATTATTCTTATGTTGTGTAAATTGTAGGTGGTCTGTAGCTGCTTATTGAATAGGATGGAAGGACTGTTTTATGAATATAAGTTCCACTTAATATCATTAAATTAACTGTTACAATGCCCTTGATAACACAGTCATAAAAATCTTCAACCCCAGACTAGGTAGACATTAAAACATAGATTACTTATCTTCTAAAACTTAATATAGGAGTTATAGAGGAATAAGTAAAGCTCAAAGTATCCAACATTTTCAATGTCATCACTATAAATATTCATTCACTCTTTATTGGCATGCTCATTGCTGTTGATACCACCCTTTTCATTTTTAGACAGCTGTAACCGTGTACAAGCTTTTCTACAATGAAGCTGGAATCTGCTCAAATCCAATAGGATTTTATTGAAGATGAATAATGAAGTATTCAGATAAAGAGATATCAATTTGGGTAATATGTATCAAAAGTTAAAAAAAGAACTCTTTAAACACAGTTAGAATGATAACAGATAGACTTGGTTATAAGTATAAGGGGTGAAGGCAAATTCAAAATTTCCTGCTTCCTTAAAAGCACCTGCAAGAAATTGAAAATGTATTATTTTCAAGAACAGTTTTGACCTAGTTATTCCTTATGACCAGAGTTTTATCCATTAAAACCAATGGCCTCCTTCATCCTTACTCTTTTAGTGGTCCTCATAAGCAAATAATTGCATAAAATTAGTAGTAAAGGTTAAAATGTTTTCGTATTTCAAAACATTACTGCTCCCTTCCGACAAGTGAGACAGGCTGACCGTTTTTTTTTTTTTTTTTTTGGTAGAAAACATGATAGATGCTCATATAGTATAAGGAGGAATCTAAAATTTTTCTTTTCAGAATTTCAAATAATAAAGTGCTTAAATCTAGTCATCCTGAGTATCTTGTTTGGAACTGTATAAGTTCCGTGGAAATCAACAAATACTAGCCCTCCACAATATTTATAGTTAAATATTTACAGATAGGATTAGTAAGAACATCAAGAAGGATCTTGAAAATGAAGGTTGTGCATATAAACTACCTGTAAATTTCGAGATTGGAGAGCATCCCAGGAGAAGGAAGATTTTAGGGTAAATATAAAAAGATTAGAGCACTATAACTGAAAAAGCTGAGTTCAGCCCAGATGTGTGATATTGTATGCCAAATAGTGAAAAAAAGTCCAAGCAACTACTTTATCCAGGTCCCTGGATTCAGGGAATCTGATGACTGAGCACTGATCTATAGGGGTAGGGTGAGGAAAGGAAATGGTTCCAGAGAATGGGAAAAAAGATAGTTCAAATTCCTGAGAAGATACTGAAACATCTTGGGAGAAACATAATTCTCCCTTACCAGAGCACTTATCAAGGGTCAAATTCATTCACTCATTTTCTCTGTCTCTCCAAATAGAACCCTTATACTTTTGCTACCTGGAAGACTGCTGACTCTGGGTTGGCCACACAATTTTCTAAGCAGTTAGGAGGAAGATTGAAATCATGGTAATTAAGTCTGACTTTTAGGGCTGCAAAGTCTGATTCAGAAATATAAATTATTAATGAAAAAGAAATGGTTTGTTATGTAACTGTAGAAGAATAATGTGCCTGAAAGACAGAGTCATTTGTTTCTCGCTAATGCACTGACAGCCTGCTAATTATCGAGTGGATCTTTGCAGTCTCTGGAGACTATGAAGTCATTTTAATATCATACTTTGGTCACCAGCACGTAACCAAACTTAAATTTGTCGTATACTGTATAGGATTGGATATGGACTATGGATTCAACAGACTTGGATATTCAAGCCAAGCACAGATCTTTTTTAAACAAAAAATTTCTTTGGGTTTGAATGATCCGGAGTAGTTATTCACACCAAATTATTTCAAAACCCTTGTTTTTTAACATATGGTTCGTGGGATCTTGAAAACATTCCTTGAGTATCGCTTTGCTTTCATTCTAGTCTATTTGTAGTTTACAAACAGGATAGAAGCTACTAGAACTTACATGGAAAACATTGTAAAGCCCTGAAATTAAAGTTTGGCTCTAACTTCTTGGGGTGGTATTCCCCAGTGTTCAACCATTTTGGCAAGTGAAAGTCCCAGCTTTCCCTGTTCTTGGGTTAGCAGGAACCATAAATTGGAAGTTTTGACAACGACCCAGTGATCTTTGTTTCCTTCAAGCTAGGAAAAATGTTTCATTAAAGTAACTAGTTTATACTAAAGTAAGATGACAGTATGAGAAATTCCAATGAAGTAAAAATTAGATATCATTATTTCTTCCTCTTTAAAATATGCAAGCAGCCAAAATAAAATTGAATATCAGTGGCCAACTTGGAGAGGCCTAAAAGGCAATATACAGTCTCAGATATTTGTAATCAAACACAACGCAAGTTCAAAAGAAGCAGCAACTCCTGAATCTGCCTTTAGTATGATATCTCCATTGAATTTCCTCTATTTCCTTCAAAGGATATTCTGGCCTAACATCTCTAAGATAATGAAATCATATTCGAAGAAAGAAATGATTAACTACACCCAAAATAAACACGAAGTGATGTTTCTGTAATGTTAATTCATTTAGAAGTGAGAGAGAAAGCTTTCTGTGATAAAATCTAGAAATGTAAACTTTTACTTCCCTTAAAAACGTATTAAGTGACAGATACTACTTTCATATTAAGTATATCAATTGATATAACTACTTTATCTTAATTGTTCTGGGTAGTTTTGGAATTTTAAAACTGGGTACTTATTAGCAATATTTTTTATTAGCAGTATTTACTTGTATTTCTCTGGGGACATCTAGTGGAGAAAGTATAGTATACAATGTTCCTAGAAGCACAGATTCCATCTATTATAACATTTTGATTAAAATAATATTAAATATGAAATGCATAGTAAAAAAAATTGTGAACACTTGATTTGCATTTCACAATGTTAAAAACCCTGAGGGTTAATAATGACCTCTTACATAATTTTTTTTAAAGCTGATGCAGCTTGGCTGCAATAAATGATGTCAAATCCAAATAAAGTTGAAAAATCTAGTCCTGTGTTTGCTAGTATGTGACTGAAAAATGAATCATTTCATTTTTTATCTGAGTTTTGCAACACTTACACAGAATAGTGATATATGGTTAAGAAATTATGGTTGATAATTTTTCTACTTTAAACAAATGATTGGAAGTAATCAGTTCTGCAGTCTGATTTCATTCATTGGTTCTCTCTCACATTTACACACCCTTTATTTCTCACCCCTAGCACTTGATATCATTGACATAATGCCTTTCATCTTCTTTCTCAGTTGGATTTGGATGATTTTGTTTGAGAGACAATTAAGGCCTTGGTCATCATCTGTCTCCTGCCCACAAATAACTTCTAACATTCCTCCAGATTCGACAGTAAGATGAAAAGATGGATAATTGCTGCAATTAAAAGAACCCTGTAGCCATCTATCTTTTATAGTACTAGAATTTCAAATCCCAGCTGGCACATTTGGTCTGCTGAAAAAAATGGTTTAAATTATGATAACTCCATAATTCGTAATCATCCATTTATCACTCTCCTTGGATCCT